ATCGATAGGGAATACTTCCCAGATTGCTGTCCCCATCAGTCCATTTTCATAGCACATTTTCTTTGGAGCAGCTACCCTTGCTGTATGACCCATCATTGATCAGTCAAGCAGTGGGGTCTCTGGTCAGCCTTCTCTGGTATTTCTCCTCAGGGATCAGTAATGGGGAAGTGGTGGACTGGATGGACTCGACTGGGGAAGAAGTGAGCCTGTGGCAGAAGATGCGACAGTACCCAGGGTCTTGGGCTGAAGGGACTCTGCAACTCCGTTCTTCAATGGCCAAGCAGAAGCTGGGTTTATGAGTTCTTGTCATAGTCTACAGGTCCAGCCCTGGCCAGGGCAAATCAGAGGAAGTGACAAAACTAAGAGCAAATATTTCTAATTTAATATGTGTGTGTGTTGGATGTGTATGTACAAGCACGTATTTCTGCAAATCTTATGCTAGCTAGAGTGATGCAGCCTTGTTCCCCTTTAAAAAGCAGGCTCAAGAAAAAGGGCCTCTTTGAAATGTTTTTATTTATGCACAATCTAGTATATTTCAGAGTCCATTCTTTATTTCATCATTATGAGATTTAATTAACTTAAAAACCTTTTAAAACAACTTTCTATTTTCTGTCTTAATATTTTTGTTCTTATTTCTCCAGGGAGCCCTGGCTACCTTTGGCATTAGTTTTAGTCTGTAGTTTAAGGTGTACCTGATCTGAGGCTAAGGTTCTAGGAAGCAGTTTTGGGTCGCTAAAGACAGGGCAATATGGGAGAGAGGTAAATAGGTCTTCTCCTTCTCTCTAATTTATACTTTTAATTCATGTTCTACCTGGATAATTTTCTGGAACTTGGCTTTTAACTTTTCTTCTTGTTAAGTAGTTTTCACCTTGCTTGGGTGTATGGTTTTCTTTGAAATGAAAAAAACTCCCCAGCTCCTTCCAGTTCTATATGCCTTTACTAGACCTCTGGGGAATCCTTATAATGGAGTTAGTTTAGAAAAGCACTTTAATTAGATAATGGCCTTTTGACGGAGTCATGAACATGCCCAGTGAGACCTTCTGGCTGATCCCAGAGGACTTGCATGACTGAGGGTAAAGTGTTTCACAGCTCATACTGATGTCTCAGAATTTTAAACTGATAACAGCAGTTAATTGAGAGAGAACTCACTTCTCTAATGAAAGATGAGACATCTTCACTCATGTACCACATCTTCCTCAGTGTTTGTGTCTGAGATGTGTTGCTATGCAGAATATGGTCCACATACCTCTGTATCAGTCAGAAGAGCTAAAGACTATCTAAAATGGCACAGTGCTTGCCCAGACTGGGGACTGTTAGTACTCCAAGAGAACGTGGATAGAGAATCTCCCAGTTATTCTGACCTCCTATCTGATGTAGTTTCAGCTCCCATTTTTTCTATTGTTTCCTCAACTTGACCTACATGTAACATGGGTGTGGTACTGTTGAGGCTTTTTGAAGAGGGTTCTGGTAAAATAACTTTCACTTTCTTATACTCTTACAAACTGACCTTTTTATTCATATGAGTGTATTCCACACAAATTTGTGTGTAGAAGGAGCCTATACCAGAAAAAATCCCTTTCAGTAGAGGCAGTTGCTAGCTGATGGTCCTAAAAGGCCACTGGATTGAGGAGGGCAGGTATGGCAGTTTCTATTGCATGTGTGAACTAAACTGAGGAATGTTTTAAAAGGTTTGTTTGGTGTGGATTGACACTGTAATGAAAAGCATAACTTGAGATCCTGTGTTGTAACTTGCTCTTTTGTTTCCCACCCTTGAAATGAATGTGTGCTTCAATAAAGCTTTCTGACTTGTCAAATGTTTTCATTCATTAGTTCTGTGGAAGCCTTTGTGTATGATGTCCTGACTTACTATTGTTCCTTTCTACACGTGGCTTGAAGGGTAAGAACCAGAGTGACAAATGCCTTTCCCTAATCATCATATGCTGATTTGAAGAAAATTTGCCTTTCTCCACATTGCTGCCTGATACTTTTCCTGGGTTTGAACCCCTTGTCCTGTATGTTTGGTATCTACGGAGAGAACTAAAAATCCATCTTAAAAGAGGCACCACTTTTCTATTTCTCAAGTACCAAGGGAAGTCCACCTTTGGCTTTATGGATCCTCCCTTGCTAGAGTAGGGGAGAGATGTTCACATAGGAGCTGAAGAAACACATTCCCTGTTATAAGCACTTCTTTCTAGATTCTTCAATTCTTCTGGGAATTGGGGACTTCTTCCTCTGCTTCTACTACCATCATTGAGGTCTTTTTAAAATATTTTTTAGATGTTGATGGACCTTTATTTTGTTCATTTATTTATATGCAGTGCTGAGAATCAAACCCAGTGCCTCACACATAGTAGGCAAGAGCTCTACCACTGAGCCACAACCCCAGGTCCCCATCATTTAGTTTTGAGAAATAAATAACACAGATGCTAAGTAACCCATCTCTGAATTTAGGCTCCGGGTTTCTAGGTAGAGGCCAAGTGATTCTTGATCTCTTGTGCAAAAAGGTATTAATATTTATCAAATGCCTTTTGATATAAGACTTTATATATTGATCTTTCTATTATACCATATGCAGTATGAAATCTTCCCTTCCTACAGATGAGGAAACTTGAGTCCTTATGATAGAGTTGAGATTCGAATCAAGGTCTGATTCTACTGAAGCATGTGAGAATGGTATGTGTGTTATGGGAAGAATCAAAGGAAGGGATGACTCATCTCTTCTAAAATATGGGTTTAACTTACAAAATAGAAAAATCAGAATGTTTTGGTTATTACTTAGCCAGCTTAGTGACTTTATACTGTGTGTGTGTGTGTGTATGTGTATGTATGTGTGTCCCCAGAGAGGTTTAAAGAGAGAAATAGAGATATGTATATATCAGGATCTTGCTAGTCCCTTTGGGCTGGCTGTGGGCCTGGTTCTGCTTCCGTCTCTCTCTCTCTCTCTCTTTTTAAATTATTTATTTATTTTTATGTGGTGTTGAGGATGGAACCCAGGCCTCGCATATGCTAGACAAGCACTCTACTACTGAGTCACAACCCCAACCCTACTTCAATCTCTTTCCCCTGCTTTAGGAATTGGGATTTCTTGAGTCATAATCTACAAAGGAGGTTATAGTAAAACTAGCAAAAGAAAGCAAGATTGACTTGTTTTGACTACTCAAAATGAAATTATAGCTCTTTAGTTGTTTTAAGCTAGAGAAGCATTTACATGCAAGAATCAGGCCCAGGTGGGAACTCTGCTCAGGGAGTAATGAGCCCCCTCTGTTATCTGTTGGGCCTTTGGCTTGCAGTCTATCCTGGCTTGCCACTTGGAATATTAGTGATAAAGACAAGGAAGGGCATTTATCTTCCCCAGTGTGCAATCTTTGCCTTTGGAACCACAGACCTTGTCTAACCAGAAATTTCCCACATGAACTCATTGTATTTTGCCTTCTACCCATAACTCGCCCTTGGCCTTTCAAAGCTTCTGTATTCCCCTGAAGGGAAGATGAAGAAGGGATTTTTTTTTTTTGTTCCAAGTTTGATCATTTCTTCCATGTTCCATTCCACCCAGAAGCTGCCTAACATTTTATTTTGCATTTTGAAAATGAGATTTCCACTAAACCCCCAGTGGAAATAGCTTCTCTCTGACTCACTACTACCCCCATATGTTCTGGACTCATGATTTATGTCCTATCACTCTGCTTTAAAGAGCAAATTTTCTTGGGTGGAAAGATGTTCATTTCCCTCTTTCCTCCAGGGACTACTCTGAGTCTTGTATCTGAGTAGGATTTTAGAAGATGGAAACTTTCTTGCTTAGAGTGTTCAACTGACTTTAAATGGGGAGTAGAAAAAGAAGTAGAAGCCAGATGGCAAACTAAGAACATTGACTCTGGAGCCAGACTGCTATTGTTTTAATGCTGACTCTGTCACTAATAAGTGGCACTTATTAGTTATCTTAGGTAGATTGCCTATCCTCACTGAGCTTCAATTCTCTCATCTGTAAAAGGGAGGAAATAACAGTTCCTACCTTATAGGTTTCTTGTGAAGACCTCAGAGTGAGTCAGTAGGGTATTTAGAATGGCACTGGCACATAGTGAATGCTTGAGCCTCCCAGCCAGCCTATTTCCTCTACCCTCTAGCTTTCCATTGATGACCCTTGGTTAAAATCAAAGGAAAAAGACTGCTTAGTCTTAATTATGACTATGGATTCCATGAACTTATAAAAGAAGGTTCTCAACAGCAAGGGGAAGAACACTTTTCTTTCAAACATTGACACCCCATTGGGTAGGACTGAAGAAGAATCTGGGGCTGGGGATGTAGTTCCATGGTAGAGTGCATGCATAGTCTATGCAGGGCCATGGGTTCATCTCCTAGCTCACACATATACATACGAAACAAAAACCAGGACTCTGGGGCTCCATTTTCTAAAAGCCCAATAACCCATCCTCAATTTACTTTCAGGCCTGCTCCTTAAGACTTGACTTTGTGCCACTGTAGCTCCCACCTGCTCTGTGGCTATCCGAGGAAGTTAATACCTGAGGTGGAGTCTGCTTTCTTTCCCTACTATCTTTAGTGGTAGTTTTGAAGTATCCTAGATCATGGAATGGGAAGGAGGTTCCCCTAATGAAGGAACAATACTGTCTACCTTTTGTTATGGGGAATGGAGGCCTCAGTAGATAGAGGTTCTTGCCTGTGAGCCAGCTGGAAGGGCCAGGAGACAGCATTATGCTGTGACTAGCTATTTCTTCCCAAACTCCCTCCCATGGCAATGTTTTTGTAACTCTTGATGAAGCAATAGTTCAAACAATATTTTTAGCCCAATGCCCTACAAAGGGAAATGACAAATAGGTTCAATAATGTTTTGTAGATCCATGCCATCCCATCCCAGCCACAGAGATAGTTAAATTGTAAGGAAAATGCAGCTACACTTCTTGAAGTGTACTGGATGTCTTTTGCAATGGTGCTGCCCTCTGCTGTCACCTCTGGGTATAGGAAGCATTTAAAACACAACTGGTAAGTGAATCAATTTAGAATTTACTTATCTGAAAGACTTTGGAGAGCAGGGCAGAGGCCCGGGTTAGGAAATGAAGACTTCCTACCCCCAATGCACTGCTCAAAGCCTGTACTCAGTCCCTGCTTAGCTTCAGAGTCTCCTCCAGTGCTAACTGAAGCATAGACTTGCTTACGGAAACTATGGCACAGTCCTAAAATGATGTCTAGAAATATCTCTGGATTGGCAAACCTCACTCACCTCAGAATCCTGTCCCTAGAACTGTGGGAAACCATTTCTTTCTTTTATTAGGCCTCAGTTTCAGCTAACTAGGGTAATTTTCCCTTGACATCAACCTTGCCCTGGCTCAAGTTCACTCGCAGACATCCCTTTGCTCCCGGCGCTGGATCAGTTCCTGGTTGCTGAGCAGGTAGTCATCAATGAATGTGAAGATTTCCTCAGGGGTTACAGGTCCCATGTAGCGTTCCCGATCAATACCCTGCTTGTCAATCAGCACCATATTGAAGTAGGAGCGAGTAAGGCGCTGAAATTGCCTAGAGAGAGCAGCCCAGGAAGGTGTGAGACATTGTCTGGGCATTTGTCCCACAGGGCTCTACTACCCTCTGATCTTTCACAGCTCCACTGATGGACTAGTCTCTCCCAAATCCCATCTCCATCCCCTCTACTACCTATCTATCTCAAGTTCCTTTGCTTTTTTCTGCTAAAGTCCAAATCTTGCTGATTCTATGTGTTTAGCACTGCTAAGCTCTCCCTTCCTCATCCCAGCTGGGGCAACTTTGTTATTACCAGGCTGTGCTTCTATTGTAGACTCCTTTAAGCAGGACTAAGAATCCTGCATGGAAAAACTCCAGGGGGTGCCCATCATAGACATGATGATACACATGCACATTATACATGGCAACCCTGAAGGTGATAAATACTACCTGATTAACTATTCCATCCAAGGCTGCAAGTCTTCAGTGTCCTTCCTCTGAGTATTTCTTAGTCTTTCTAACTGAGACTGAATATCCCCACTAATATTGAGCCCTGGAGGCAGGTATTGTTTCTAGAACAGACAACACAGATGGCTTTACTGTCCCTGAGTATATGTGGAAGCACTGGAAGGCTGATAATGTATAGATGATGAGAAAAGTCAACTTCTACCACCTGTCACTTCTAACCTCTTCCCTATGGGCTGATGGATATGATTCAGATTTTAGTGCCTTAAGAAGCCTTTTGGAGACAGACAGTAAAAAGAGAAAGTCATGAAGCAACAGGATCTCAGGCTGCTATGAGTCAAGTTTGGGTTAACTGTCTCAGTCCTGACTGTGCTTCAAAGTTACCTGAGGTGCCATTATAAAAAACCACAAAGGTGGGGCCTGGTAATTGCATTTTCAAGCCCCATTTGATTCACATGCCTTGCCAGTGTTAAGAATCACTCTCTGGTCTTACCTATATGCATCCATAAGAGTTCAAACACAAGAAGTAATTCAAGAGAGTAGTTTTGTCACAACCCTCTGTTGCTAGTGTCCTGCCTAGGGTTTCTGCCCATCCCCAACCTATAGCCTCCCAGCCTGGACCTGAGCTCCTCGATGATGCTGGCTGACAGCTGTTGCTCCCGGATGCGCCCCACCTCCTGAGGTGGCTGCCCCACCAGCTCAATGATGGTCACATGCCGCAGGTCCAGTCCACAGGTGGATTGCTGGGAAGAGGGAGAGAACATTTAATGGAACAGGCCTTTGCCCTCAAATCTCAGGCTACTTGATTGATTCCTTCTGGGACCACATGAGGCAGTGTGGGACAGGAGGGGGCTTCTCCTGCAATGATCACACAATCATAGGATCATACAATCATAGGATCACACTGATCACAATATGAGATCTACAAAACCTTTTCCTTCCATCAGTCCTACAAAATTGTTCCATTCCTTCTACTGAAGTGTATGAAACTGGTTATACAATGAGGAATAGAAAAGAGAAGCATAATTATTAAGCTGCTACTGTGGGAACATAATCAATCATTGCTTAGCTTTTCATAGGTTTTAAACTACTTAGGTTCTTAATGGATGGCTATTGTGATATGATAATAATTACTGTTGTTTCTTATTTATTTACATTTATTTAATACTTTGTAGAAATCAACTAATTTAATCCTTACAATAGACCTAACAAGGTAGGTGGTGTCATTCTGAAGAGGCAAAAGTAACTTGCCCAAATTTGTATGACAATAAGATGATGAGCAAAGATTCAGACTGAGGACTTATACCACTTACCCAAGTATGTCCTCTTTATCACTAGGCTACATCCCAGGGCCTTCTCTCAGTCGATTTATCCAAAATAATGGCCAGTGGTCTTTATCCCCTTAATTGCCTTCTTTGCACTGGGTAGCAAACTCCTGTAACCCTACCTATACTGGCTCTTTGTCCTGCTTTGTCCAGTAAGGTCCAATTAGCCAGTTGCCAGAATGAGGCTTAAAGTAGTATTGAACATTCCCTGGTGCCCCGCATCTGTTTTGCCTTTGGTCTCCTCCTCTCATCCTGACCTCAAAGTCACTGTCCTTGCTGGCAGATTCCTTTTTTTTTCTTGCTTCCCATTAAACTAAACTGTTGATTTTGTCTGTTTTATTTTTTGGATCCATGGAGATATAAGGTCCTTTTTGGTCTAGACTCCCAGGTTCACCTTTTTGGCTAAACTGCTGCCGTCATGGGCCTCTTAACATTGACTTGACAACTTCTATGATTCAACCTTTAGGAAACCCCTAAATAGCTGCTTAATTTACCTAAATATTTGGCCCCTTGAAGCTCCCTAGAGCCACTTAGTCATGTCAGAACATTCTCTTTAGCAACCTAGTGTGTTCTTTTTATAAGTCCTCATGGTCATATCTATTCTGTCCTATTTACCTCTCCTTTCCCCAGTAGTGAGTTTGGCTAGGTATCTCTTAGTATGTTAAAAATAATTGTTATGGTTTGGATATGAAGTATCCCCCGAAAAAAGCTCCTATGTTAAGGCAGGGGGTGAAATGATTAGATTATGAGTGCCATAATCTAATCAGTGAATTAATCCATTTGATGGATGAATAATTTGAAAGGACCACTATATGGTTGGTAACTGTAAGCAAGTAGAATGTGGCTGGAAGAAGTAGGTAACTGGGAATGTGCCCTTGGGGGTTATATATTTTTGTCCCTGTTTCCCTGTAACTGCTTGCATGCTCCCTGGATGCCATGAGCTGAGGAGTTTTCCTCTGCTTTCCCCTTTTTCCATGATGTTCTGCTTTACCTCAGGCCCAGAGCAATGGAGTAGGCCAACTATGAACTGAACCCCTGAAACTATGATCCTAAAATAAACTTTAATTTGCTAAATCAGTCATAGCGATGCAAAGCTAACACAATCATCGTACAACTTTATTTTTGCTTTGAGATATCACAATCACTGTCCTACTGGTAGTGGTTGAGAGCACAAACACTGCAGCTAGACTGCCTGGGTTCAATCCCAGGTGTACCACTTACTATATAGTGACTCTGAGTAAATCACTTAATCTCACTATGTCTCAGTTCCCCCACCTATTTAATGGAGATTATAATAGCATATACCTTACAAGGACTATTGTAAGAATTAGATGAGTATATGCAAAACATGTAGATCAGAACCAGGTTCTGATCTAAGTGTTCCTTAGTGCTATTATTCCTTGAAAACACAAATGGATTTAACTCCTAGAATTGACATTTGATCTTATCTGTCTTATAAGTCTCTCTAGAGTGCTTTGTCACACTCCCTTCCCAACCTTCACCCAGTCCCCCAAAAGTCACATCTACCACTTCAGTGGCCTTGTTGCCTTTTCAGTAAAAGCACAGCAGGTTTTAGCAATCTACTAAATACATCTAGGATATAACTGATCAAATGCTACCAAGTAAAAGTTTGAAGAAGTGGGATTTGTGCTGCAGAAAGCAATAATTTGATTTGAGAAAGATAAGAAGGTAAAATAAAGGAGCTAAGTCCTCTTTAGGGGAGTGGGCCTTACCTGTAGCATAGAGATTTGCATTTTATAATATCGGTTGGAGGGATCAGGAGCTGAGATGATCAGGAGTCGCTGTTTCTCATAGAACTGATCCAGGAGGCCAGCAGCTGAGTTGACATTGACATTAATTTTCATGGCTAGGGCAGATGCAGATGGTCAGTCAGAGACTGTCCTTTTCTTTCACACCGATTTGGTAATGCTAACATCTTGAGGAGTTCCAGTTTTTGAATTAATCTTTCTGGTTGTTTCTCCCTTCCCTGGAAAGAAATCCTGAAAGAAACTTGGAGATTTTAAACTCTTCTTGGGGTAGGCATATTCTAGGTGGAATGTTGCCCTTCATAATAGATGTGTCTCAGAAGCCCCTATTCCCACATCATTCACATCACTATTAGACCCCTAAGCTATGGGGGAATCCTCCAGAGTACCCTTGATTAACTCTTCCCATTTCCTGATTTCACTCACGAGTACAGATAGGTGGTGATCCCGACCACTGGCGACTGGACTGGCAGACCCGGGAGGGGGTTCCCTGGCGCTCATAACCACCATCACAGTGGTATTCACAGGTGGCGCCATAGTTGTCGCCTGCTGAGGTGCAGGTGAGGTAGCCATGCTGCGGTGGTTTCAGAACTGGGCAGCGTCTCACTGTCAGGGAGAAATTTAAGTTAGGGATTATGGTGTTTCTAGAAGGTGCCTACTCTGGGCTTTCTAGAACAAGAGACTTGAGATAATCAGGATGATTTTCTATATTTCCAGTGATTGGAGATAGAGCAAGAATTTTCCTTTCTTAAGGAATTAAATTTGAAATATAAACAGAGATTAGAAACACCGGTTAATATATACATTGTCTTCAAAAAACTATGAATCTGTGAAAGAAAATATTGTCATCTATGTTTACAGATACTATGATGCCCTGTATGAATATGAACACCTTGCAGAATTACTTTTTATAGTAGAAATAAGTTGGAAGAGTGGTAAATGTTCATGACTGGGAGGATTAATCAAATCATGATATATTCTTAGAGCATAATGTTATGCTGTCATTGATAATATTTCTGAAGAAATCTTAAAGAATATGGGAGAGCTGGGGTTGTGGCTCAGCGGTAGAGTGCTCCCCTAGCACATGGGAGGCCCTGGGTTCGATCCTCAGCACCACATAAAAATAAATAAAATAAAAAAGGAATATGGAAAATATGTTTTAATGAAAAATGAAAAGTGTGATACATGATTAAATACACAGCCTAATCTCAGTATTATGTTTGTCAAGTATGCATAGAGAAAAGACTGGAAAGGAAATGCCAAGAGGTTAATAGCAATTGCCTCTAGATGATGGGGTCATAGATTTTTTTTTTTCACTTTATATAGTTCTTTATTTTTTGGATATCCAGTAATGAGTATGAATTATTTTTATAATGAGAAAAGCAAAACAAACCAATGTGACACAAAGCAAAGGTGGAAGAATCAAGTAGACAACACTACCTGTTTCAGAAGAAGTGAATGATTCAGATTGAAGATTGATGAGATTTGATAATTTTGAAAGTCAAGAAAAGAAATGGGGGAGTTGGGGTTGTGGCTCAGTGGTAGAGTGCTTGCCTGGCATGTGTGAGGCACTGGGTTTGATCCTCAGCACCACATAACAATGAATAAAAATAAAATAAAGCTATTGTGTCCATCTACAACTATTTTTTTAAAGAAAATAAATGGATACAGAGTATCTTCATGAATTTTATCTAGTTTTAGGAGAATAAGAAAAAAGAGTCAAAGTTTTTGTAGCATTTGTATGTACATGTAATGAAAGCTTCATTAATGAACCTGTTTTGGTGAAGCCTGTTTCAGGCATAGAGAGGAGAGGGTCATCGTGGGCTTATAGAAACTCAGGGTAGAGCAGGAACAATGAACAATGTGAAAACCGAAGAATTTTCTTCTGACCTTGTACTTTCACAATGAACTTGCAGCTGGCCCGGTTATAAGATCGGTCATAGGCGGTGTAACGAATCACATACTCTCCTTCAGGAAAGTGAGAACCAGGCTCTGGGCCCCGAAGTGTTACCCTGATTGAGATAGGATGAAGGAGCTACTGAGGAAAAAGATACTTAGAATTGAGATCTGAAGAACATAATCACTGTGGTCTCAGCTTGTGCAGTTTCAATATGAACAGACTGAGGGACTGGGAGATGCTGTTGGAAAGCATGTGTTACTGAAGCTCACCTGGTGATGGTACCATCAGCAGAATCTTTCACCACGGGTGGGTCCCAGTAGACTCTAGCAGTCAGTTTCTCTGGCTCTGCTATCTTCTCACGTGAGTGGGGACAATGGATCTTGGGAGGATCTATGTCTATGAAGGTCAAAAATCAAGTGTCAATTTGTGGGCCCCCTGCCTTCCCTGGAGGGGACCCATTGAAACAATACCACACACCACTGGGTAAGTAGAAAGTTCAAGGTTTTCAGGGAGACTGGGGAAAGAAGCCTGACTCTAGGGGAAGTAATCATTTTGTTAAGCTTGTGCTCATGGGGCCCCCTTCATAGTGAGCAGGAATATCTTTGCAATTAGAATTCCATTTTGCTTGTGGACATAATGCTAGGATGACTCTTTGCAGCAGGAAAAATAGGAGCAACTGGCATTTACCTACACATACAGGCTCGCCTCCACTCCATCGCCCATCTTCCATGCAGATTCGGCTGCGGTCACCTTCTAGGTGGTAGCCACTAGAACAACTATAGTCACAGCGGGAGTCAAGAAGTACTCCATTTGTGCAGCTGTAGGTGCCACTAGCGATGAATGGCAGTGCATGACATCTCATCTCTAAGAGAGAAGCAAGTGGCAAGCTCAGTGGCCTGTGGGACTAACTGGAGGTGATGCATCTAGCTCATGGAGAACCATATCAGAGACAATGAATATACAGAAACCTGACCCAAACTGCTTTACATTTTTATGCCACACTGCTTTCCCCCTGAACTGCCTTTTTAATTTTCATATTACAAGGTGTAGAAGCACTCTTGGTGTATGTGCAAGGGGGTGGGGGTGTCTCAAAGAAGTAAATTACCTGTCCAAGCACTTGAACTTCAGAGTCAGACCTGAGCTGGAATGCCAGCTCTACCTCTTATTTGCTCTATGACTTGAAAAATTGCCTAATCTCTATTAGTCTCAGTGTTTTTTTTTAATTGTAAAATGTGTATGCTTCACAACATTGTTGTACAAATTAACAGATACAATGCCTATAAACCTCTAGGCTCATTTAGAGCCTCAGCAGTTGTTAGTTTTCATCTCTTGTTCCTCAGATGCTATAAGCTCTTGAGTATGCTCAAAGCTTCTTTTGAGTATCATTCCAATGCTTGCACAGCCACTTCTCACTTACATGCCAGAGTGGGATGGCTTTATGTCCATGTGATAGTACAAGTCAGGCCAGTGCCTGAAGGGCAGGTGTGGTGGTATTTGATTAAGGAGGAATCTGTGTGCTTTAGATACCACGTGGTGTATCAGAGACTGCCACCATGAAATAATTGTAAGCCTGTGTTTGTGGAAGTCTTGTTTGTGATAATTGATACTTAAGAGAAGTAGGGCTATATATTTCTTTAGATTGTCTTAGTTCAAATCCTGCATAAGTTGAATATTTGAAACTTTGAATGAAGATTCTATATAAGCTACTTTCGTTTTGTTTCTTGGCCAAACCAGATTTCAAGTTTATTGCCTTTTTTGTTTTCCAATATCTGATATGTAAAAACCTATGCAAAAATGATCTCCTTGAAATTAGAGCCAAGAGAAAAGTTTGTGTCTTCAGATGAATTTGTTTGTTTAGTATTATATGACAGTGAAAATAATAGATCCAAAGTGTTTGTCCTTTTGTCTCTTACAAGGAAGCTCAAAGCTAGATTTAATGCTCAATGTAATAATCAACTCAATCTAGGAACCTGGAAATATGCATGCCTCCGTTCTTTTAACTGGTTTTATGCTTGCTTATAATTTATAGCTTTGTTTATTTCAATTTGTCAGGCCAATTCAAATTTATTTTGGAAATAATGGGGTTTAAATCCTAAAACAACTTAATTACAGTCACCCAGAGGATGGTACTGACTTCTTTCTGGCTATCAGGCTTCTCCTCTACTCCACACCAACTTCTCTGACCAACCTCATTTCTCTGAATGCTCAGTCCTCTGTGTCCAGGTATACAGCATTCATGTGCACACATTTCTATCCCATTAGGCTATAAGTGGCCTGAGGGTAGGTGAGGAATTGAGTAAGCTCTTGCAGTGACCAATACAGGCCCCCTATACAATACAGGATGTCCTACAAATAGTATTCAGTGATGGACACATGAATATTCAAAGCTCATCTGCTAAAAGGAGGTAGACTATGGAGTTTGAATAATAGCTGGGGGTTTGGATGTTAAAGGGAGACATGGTTTGGGATGTGTGTCTATTAATATCCTTATTTCCTAACCTTAGGGATTCTCCTTTCTGACTTTCGGAAGAAAATGAATAATAGCAGACGTTTCATAGCTTCACTGGCAAGGCATTCTAAGGCTATAGGCCAGGAAGAACAGAACTTGACCACAAATGGGAAAGAATCTGAAACTGTAAATCCTCCAGAACTCCAAAAGAAGGCCCAGGTCCACATCAGACCTTGGGGTCAAGCCTCAACCTCCTACATGCACTTCTGAGTTCCCTGAGTTGGAAGGGCTGGCTGTTACTTAAATGCCCAAATCACTCAGACAGTAACTACAGGAATAGAAAATAAAGTAGAATGTTAGCATGAGGAAATGCCTCAATGGAGGGGGGGGGGGGCTCTGGAAAATTCCCAATTTAAACTTGAAAGAAAGGCATAATAACACCTCCAGGGAGATACCCTCAGTGACTGGCTGGCATCTCTCATGCTCATGTCAGCATGTGCACACATGCAACTTACGCCTGCAGTAGGCAGTTCCAGACCAACGGCGGTTTGGCAGGCATTGCACTGATCTCCGTCCAATCAGTCGAAAGCCACGGTCACAGGAGAGCTCGCAACGAGTACCTAGGCTACTGTGATAATTTTCTCCCCTTGGTGAGTAGCATGTGGCTTCTCCATCCTGGATATTTAATGTGTAACACCATTGGGGGACTGTAGCAACAGGAGAAAAGTAAGCTAGAATCATAATAATTAAGACAGTATGGTGTTGGTAAAAGGGCAGTAACATATCAATGGGACAGAACAGCGATCTCAGAAATAGATCTACACCAGTGTACCAAAATGATTTTTTGACAAAGTTGCCAAAACAATACAATGGAGGAAAGGACCTTTCAGACAAATGGAGCTGGAACAATTGAAACTTCATAGGAAGACAGAAAGGAGAGAGAGAAAGAAAAGAAAAGAAAAGAAAAGGGAAAAAAGAAAAGACAAACTAATACAAGAAATTATACAAAAATTAATTCAAAATGGATGATGTACTTAAGTGTAAAAAAGAAAAATACAAAACTTGTAGGAAAAAAACTTAGTAGAAAATCACTGGGAATGAGGACTAGGCGAAAAAGTCTAAAATATAACACCAAAACTGCAATTCATAAAAAGTCAATAAGTTGGACATTGTCAAAATTAAAATATTTTGCTCTATGAAAGGCACTATTAAGAGATCAAAGACAAGGCACAAATTGGTAGAAAATAGTTGCAAACTACATATCCAACAAAGGACTAATATCTCAAATATAAAAAGAACTATCAAAAGTCAACAGTAAAAAAAGCAAACAATCTAGCTATAACATGGACAAAGGATGAACAGACATATTACCAAAGTACTGATGGTAAATAAGCACATGAAAAGGTGTTGAGCATTATTAGACATTAAAAATGCAAATTAAAACCACAATGAGATATCATTAGTAGAAACATTAGAATGTCTAAATTTAAAAAAATGGCAGTAATAAAGAGAGACATTGGAACTTTCATACATGGCTGGTGGAAATGCAAAAACATAGCTGCTTTGGAAAATGATTTAGTAGTAGTTTCTTATGAAGGTAATAATAAATCTTATTGCAAAGAAAATATGTTTACTAAATGATTTTGAAATACACTTTAAGGTATTTTCCCAAGTGAAATGAAAACCTGAGTTCACACCAAAATCCTATACAGAAAAGTTTTTTTTTTTGGATGTGCTATTTTTTAAAGTTAAAGTGAATCTCATTATCATGTACATCCACAAGACTGGGATCCTAATTAGAATAAGATATATTCCAACCTTGTATATTCTACTGTCATGTATAAAAAGAACAAATTAAAATTTTGAAAATAATATTTTAATATACACAAATGTTTAAAGTTATTCTATCATAATTGCCAAAAGCTGGAAATATATGTCTTTCTATGGGTGAATGATTAAACTAACTTTAGTTTATCCATATACAAGGATGAAGCGCTGATACATGCAACAACATAAATAAATCTCAAAAGCAGTTTGGGAAGTGAAGGAAGCCAGATTCCAAAGACTGCATTTTGTAGGATTCCATTATATGACAAAGCTATAGGGACACATTCAGGCAAAAATATAGGGACAGGATGCAGATCAGTGGTTGTTGAAGATGAGAGGTTGAGGTCAGGGATAATCTCAAAGGAGTAGCACTGGGCAAGTTTTGGAGGCAATATAAGTATTTTGTATTATCTTGGTTGTTATCCCACTCTATGCATTTGTCAAAACACACAGAACTATATTCCCCCCAAAATGAAGTCTACTATATGTGAATGTAAAACAAAAAAATTTTAAAACACAAAACTATACATTAGAGATAGAAAAGGAAAGTGACAGCAAAGAAGGTTGCTTAGAAATGAAAGTCTAATCTCAGTTCAGTACTGAGCAAAAGAGGTTACAGGGTATCATAAAGATGCCTCACAGACTGTACGAAATAAATAAATGACTCTTCAATGGGTTTGGATTTTAAAGAGACACATGTAAACAAATGGAGGGCCACCTGTCCAAGGAGGATTATACAGCATGTACCACATCTGTTTGCCTAAGGTTGGGAAAATTAAAGCCCCATGTGAGCTGATTTGATTCCCAAATCCTAGGGACAAAAACAAACAAACAAACAAAACCCAAACCACTCTGAGACTTAACAAAAAGCACATCAGGAGCTATAGGATAAAAGAAAGGCTGGAGCTTCTGCTTGAGTGCAGCTGGAGAATGAAGACAGATGACAGAGAGAAAACTATTCTTCAACTAACGCCATGTTTGGGGCTCCCAGTATTAGTTTCAAGCCTGTGGCAGTGACAGGGCTGCCATCTGGAGACACCATCTCCAAATTACAGAAAGTCTCTTAAGCACTATAGTTGCAGAGCTGTTGATTATAAGGCCACAACACATATTACAACGACCTTAAATGGGAGGTTGGGACCTCAGCAATCACTTCCATTCTATTTTTTCTCGTATTCCATCAAAGAAAATACACATCAGATTGAAACTGATAAAAAAGCAAGCATGGTAAAGGGAAATAGAAAGCTCAGGATAAATACTGAGACAGTAAGAGAGGCCCAGCTATTGTAAATAAGTTCAAATTTGCTGGCCCAGAAGAATCCTGGCATAAAGAAAAAACATTGGAAGGCTGGTGAAGGGCAAAGCAACAATCCCCATTTTCAAATAAGAAAGAAGGTAGCCTCTGAGAACTATAGCCTGGTGACACTGAAAGCATAGTTTTCTAGAATATTTAAAGGTATGACTTATGATCTGATAGAGAAGTGATGATCTCCAGGAGCACTCGAGAACAAGTAATTGCAGACTGACCTCATTTCCTTTTTGGGTAGGGCCACCAGACTGGTAGAACAGGAGAAATGACGTGAAGCATGTGTCAATACTTTTCATGCCAGTGATGTGGATGAGAGGAAGAAATATGGGAGGGGTGACAATACAGTTAGAGAGATTCATAACTGGCTGAACAACTGTACCCAAAGAATGCCAATGGGAAACTGAAACTAAGAACATGGTTAAATACTGCATGGTAGCTGGGTGTGGTGGCACATGACTATTACAGCCAGTAATAGCCATTTGGGAGGCTGAGGCAGAAGGATGGCAAGTTTGAGGCCAATCTCAGCAGTTTAGTGAGGCTCTAAGTGACTGAGCGAGACCCTGTCTCAAAATAAAAAAATAAAAATGTCTGGGGGGATGTGGCTCAGTAGCTAAGTGCCCCAGGATTCAATCCACAAAACAAAACAAAACAAAACAAATTAAATACTGTATGGTGAGAATGTCTGCTTGGAAATGTGTGTTAGTCTATATTGAGTACTTACTATGACTAGGTACCATACTACATAATTTTCCTTCATATACATCACCTCATATAGTTCTCCCAACAGCCCTCTGAGGCTAAGTAGGTATTTATCCTTATTTTACAGATGAGTAAGTAACTTTCCCAGGGTTCCTCAGCAAATAAGAAATAGGGCTGGGATTTGACCAGAACTTTTTCTCTAAAACCCTTGTTTTTTCTAAGTACAAAATTTGCTACTGCAGCAGCTATTTTGAAGGGTATATTGACCTTTTTGAAGAGGTAATGTATGCATATGGGTCAAACCCCCCAGGGTATAATATATTACTCAGTAAAATGTCCCCACCCAATCTTACTTTCTTCTAAGACCCCATTGTTAATAGTTTCTTTATGCATATAATGCAAATGTTGGTACAGCATCTTGTTTCCCCTCCTTTATAACACATGGAGCAGTATATCATGTCTATTGTTGCCACCATTGCTTTTTTGGTGTGTTGTTGTGGCTTGAACCTCTGCCAGGGCTTCACACATACCAGGAAAATGCTCTACCATTAAGCTATACCTCCAGCTCCTACCATTACCTTTTTAAAAAAATAAAATGGATGTTGTAGCTTAGAAATATTTCCATATCACTACCTAGTAAGGATGTGATTTGTTTAAATGAAATAACATAAAATATTTAGTACACTGACTGGCACATAATAAGAGTTTGTCCAGGGCCAAAGAGCTATAAGGGTTCTCTCTTTTTAAAAAGGCTTGTAATGAAAAGAGCACTGACAACAGGTTTGAAAGGTCCTTCTCTGTAATTACCTTCAGATAACCCAGGCAGAGTGACTAGTTTGCTCAGGGCTGAGTCAAGCTGTGAGGAAAGCAGCAGCCCAGCAGACTGAGTGTGCACCTGAGAGAAGAATTTCTGACTCCAAGCTGTTTCATGATAAGGGAATAACAGGAAATGCAAGATTAGTGAAAATGGTACCAAGCTACATGGGCAGTTTGCTCTACAATAATCATATGTTTTTTATTGCTTAGCAGTTGTTTTTATTTTTTTTCTTTTTTAGATAATTAGTTACATTTTTAAATATCTTTAAATTTTGTTTTAGTTGCAGATGGACAATATCTTTATTTTTTTATCCTTATGTGGTGCTGAGGCTCGAACCCAGTGCCTCACACATGGTGAGTGCTCTACCATTGAGCTATAGCCCCAGCCCCAGTGAGTTACATTTTTAATGAAAGAGATGAAATAAGCATGGCTCTGAATTCAGACAGACCTGAGTTTAAATTCCTGTTTTGTGGGGCTGTGGCTGTGGCTCAGTGGCAGAGTACTTGCCTGTCATGTGTGGAGCACTGGGTTCGATCCTCAGCACCACAAACAAAATTAAGCAAATAAAATAAAGTCATGCTGTTCATCAACAGCTACAGAATAATTTTTTTAAAAATAAACAAATTCCTGTTTTGTCTCCTCTAAGCTCTGTGACCCTAAATTTAACTTCCATGAGCTCAGTTTCCTGATCTGTAAAACAAGGGATAATAAATCAATTCTATAGAGCTGTGGTAAGAATCAATTAAAACTACACATGTAAAATATTTAGTCCTATGAGTTGTATTTCCTAAATCAATGTCTGGGTTTGAGCCCCTCTCTCATCAGTATTCAAATAACAACACATTGTGATTTCCAGTGTCTTGGCATGTAGCTGTGACACATATGATTGTCATCTGGGACACCAAATTACAGAAAGTCCTTAATCACTACAGTTGCAGAGCTGTTGATTATGAAGTGACAAGGGTCTTACAAGGGAGGTTGGGACCTCAGGTTGTACTTTTCCTGGCTATTCCTTTCCACTCATCATTAATAACTATGTTTGATTCATTTTATGTCCTGAGAGTAAGTCCTGAAGAGAGCTATAAGACATTAGACCCCAAGGCCAAATGTTGCCATGTGACTTATATTTTTCTTTTTTGGTACTGGGGATTGAATCCAGAGGCACTTTACAACTGAACCACATCCTCAGCCCTTTTTACTTTTTATTTTGAGACAGGGTCTTGCTAACTTGCTTAGGGCCTCACTAAGTTGCTAAGGCTGACCTTGATCATGCAATCAATCCTTCTGCCTCAGCCTCCTGAGTCACTGGGATTACAGGTGTGCACCACCACACCTGACTGACTTATATTTTTCTAAAGGCCTTTTTGCTAATTTAAAAATAGCCAATGAGGCAGATAATATTAATTATAGGGCTGCCAGACCCCTCAAAAATACCTTCTATGTTTGTTGCTTTTTTACTATCCCATTTGGAGTCTACAATCTGGCTTCTGTTCCTAGGATGCTGACGGTCAGCATCTACTTTTAGCATAGCTCTGTGGGAGTGATATTCATGGCTCCTTCTGTTAAATGGATAGATATTTTGTTGAGAGTAATAAAAAGTAGATCAAAGAGTCAGTACAGATGAGTAGTTTAGGTAATAAATACTGATTTCATAAGAGGTATATAGTAGTACCTCTCAATATTCAGTGAGAGTGAGAGAGTAAGGAAAAGCTCACCCTGAATGAAGCACAGATTTCAAGTGGGGAGAAGGGTGAGAAGATGTCAAGCTGGGAAGATAGATGGAGACAGATTCTGATTAAAAATGGTCATAGTGGAGCTGGGTATGCTGGCACATGCCTGGAATCCCAGTGGCTCAGGAGGTTGAGGAAGGAGGATCACAGATTTGAAGCCAGCCTCAGCAACTTAGTGAGGCACTAAGCATCTTAGCAAGACCTTGTCTAAAAATAAAAAATAAAGAAGGGCTGGGGATGTGGCTCAGTTGTTAAGGGTCTCTGGGTTCAATCCCTAGTATCAGAAAAATGAAAAAAGAAAAATGGTCATAGTGGGACACTAGGTTTAGGGGAGAAAAACACGAGTCAGAGAATGCAGTTAGGGGCAACTAGCATTATTCATGTGTGAAGTAATAAAAGTTTTATTCCCATGGATTAATAATGAAATGATAGGTCTTGGTGAATGAGGAAAAGGAACTATTAAAGGAACTATTACTATTAGAAGTAATACTGAGGTATTCTAACTAAGAGAATGTCAGAAGTAGGAAGGTCAACTGGTAGAACCTTCTTCAGGCAAGATGGAAGAATTTTGTTTTAGATATCTCCAAATGGAAGTGTCTAGCAGCAGTTGGAGATATAGTCCAGGAGCTTGAGACCAGTCAAGGTTGCCCAAGATCCCAGCTTCATTCTCTGTATTTTTGCCACCAGAGAACCCATCTTCTTTCTTGGCTTCAGCTATGAACATAGTAATAAAATGTCATGAATCCCAAGGAAGAGGGGTTTAAAAGAAAGGGGCTTGCTCAGTGCTGTTGGAGAGACTAAGGAGACTAAAGCTCAAAGCTATGTGATTTGATCATGGGAGGGAATTACTGTCTTCAAGAGATGTTTCAGTTTGGAGATTAGTAGGTGGGTGGAAAACAGACTATAGGAAGTTTAGAATTTAGTGGGCACTGAAGCAGAGGCAGTGGGTGTGGACCATTGATAACAAGAAGAGACAAAGTAACTAAAAAGTGGCATAGAAAAACCCAAAACTCTGATCATTTTTCTACTGAAATGGTTTTGTCAAAGGTCACCTTCTTTTTGTTAAATAAAATTTCTCCCTTCGATGTGATCTCTTTGTAATACCTGACATAGTTGATTTCTTAACCTTTCCATTTTCCTAAAACTCTCTTCTTATGTGTCTTCTGTAATATGATACACACTACCCTGATCTTCTTTCATATGGCTGACTGCTAACTCTCTCTACCTTGCTGGCTCCTTTTTTCCTACTCATATCTACAGATGTCTTCTAAGGCTTTGACCTTGGCTCTCTGCTTCCTCAGAGCCCATTCATCTAAGTCAGGGACTCACAAAGCTTCATATTTCCACTTCCAATTGTTCATAGAGTATCTTTACCAAACCAGTTTGTTTTCTTTCTTTGTCGCTTCTGTTTTTTTTTTTTTTTTTGTACTAGAGATTGAATCCAAGAGTGTTTTACCACTGATCTATGTCCCTAGCCCTTTTTATTTTGAGACAGAGTTTTGCTAAATTGCTGAGTTTGTCCTCAGACTTACCTCAGCTTCTTGAGTTACTGGGATTACAGGTATGCACCCCTGCAGCCAGCTCTAGTTTTCTTTTTTTTAACTTTGTCTTTTAGAGGAGTCTTACAGTTCTCCTAGGTATTCAGACTGGATGCTTTCAGACATCAGTTTCTTTCTTTCTTGGTTCATCAAATCTGTACCAAATCTTGGTCATTTTCTTTGAAGTGTATCTGGGGTACATCTTTTTATTTTCAGTGCTGGGGATTGAACCCAGGGCTTTGCACATGCTAGGCAAGCACTCTACCACTGAGCTGCAACCCAGCCCATTCTACAGCATATCCTTATTCTGCATTTCAGTGCCACACTCTCTATCATCTCTAGCTAACATTACTATAACTGGTTCCTGGAGAGCCTCCCAGATGCAGGCTCTACTCCTCCCAATCCTTACTTTCTGAACAGAATAAGCAGGTTAGTGTTCTAAGATTATCATTTACACTGTCGCTTCCCTCTGCAAAAACCTGTGATATGGTCCTTATATCTTTTAGCACAACAGCTAAACTTTTCTGCAATCACATGCTAAGCATAGAAACAGAGAATCAGAAATGGAAGGGATATTAGATATCATCTGGCCTAACCTTCCTTTTAATGCAGGAATCGTTATTTAGCATTTGTCACAGGTGGTCCGTTGCCTCTCCTTAGAATGGTCCCTATGTCATAAAGGCTTTCCTAATTTGATCTCACTCTTTATATTAGTTTTATTTTCTATTACTCCCTTGACATTCCATCTCCTCCAGTCAGGCTATTTTTTTCTTAACTCCCTCCTGTAATGGGTCTGCTCTTATCTCCATATCTTTGGCCACCTCCTTTGCCAAGTGCCCTTCCCTCCCCTTTCCAGTTTTCAAAATCCTATTCATCATTGAAAGTCTAGCCTAAATGTCATCATTCATGAATGATTTCCTGGCTTCTTTGTCTCAACTCCCATTGCATTTACTGCTACCACAGAGTCTCATGCTTACTTGCTTGGCATGTGCTAATTTTATCCTCCCTTCACCCCCAACAGAATATCAGCTTTTTAAGGAGGATAAACCCCCTATCTTTGCATCACACAATGGCTTACCTTGCATAGGATTAGGCATACATGGGGTACTCAGTCAATATTAAGGATTAATAATAGATGGACAACCTCAGGCTAGAAAGGTAAGGTCCCACAGCATGTCAGTAACCAAATTCATGTTTAAAATCATAGCCTCAATAATTCCTTGTGCTGCATTTTTGGCACATATGAGCCAAGCCTGGAGGAGGATGCTTCAGGGAAGTGCCTAGGCCTGAGGCCAGGGAGAGAGTGTTCCTGAGATTGAGAAGTGAAGATTACCTCTGTAGTCTAGGGCAGGAGCCTGTGGGACCTCTTCTGCATAGACTTCATTGTAGCTTTCATCTGGATAGTAGCCTGAGCCTATAAAAAAGAAGACAGTATCAAGATGGTGTGTATATTTCTTCCTAAATTCTTCCCAACTCCCCCACAACTTTGTACTCCATGGTCAGGGAGCCAAGTGACTTGCAAACTTGTATTTACTGTGGGTGACCTTCAGTATATAAGAGGATCACTGTAAAAGGCAAGCTCATGGCCAGGGAACACAGTAACAGCACTGAAAGACTCCTTTCAAATGAAAAATAATTAAAATTCTTGACCATCCAGCAGTCCTGTCAATCTGGATTATAAGTGATCCATTTCCTTGATGCAACCTGAGATTCTTGGTGAGACACTGATGACCAAACTCAGAAGATGGACTCTTGTCTCAGGTAGGAGGAAAAAAGAAAGCCAAAGTGTCTTCCTTCTGCTAGTGACAGGCCTGCTCAAAGTCCTCAGAGGAAAATAGTTCAAGCTCCCATTAGTCTACAGTGCAGGGGTATTTTTGTCACCTGACTGCTATTGCTGGGGGTGGCATGCCAAGGCAGAGATGGATGGCTCAAAAGGCAAGAATGAATGAGAACAGTCTCATGAGCACTTTGTCCTGGTTTGGGGAAATACGGAGACAGAATACTTTTTGTTTCTTTTACTTTTTTGTTTTGTTTTGTTTTGCAGTGCTGGGGATAGAGTCCAGGGCCTCATGCGTGCTAGGCAAGCCCTCTATCACTGAGTTATAACCCAGCCCAAGGCAAAGTCCTTTGGATAAATTTCCTGTTCCTGTAATCAGCAGGAGCTTTAGTAGGGAACGGCTGAACTAGAGGACATTCTTAATCTACCTCCATCCAGTTAAGCAATTCATTCCCTGGTGGAGGCAGGTCTGCAGCTGTCTGGGAGACTAAACAGTATGTTCCACCAGACAGCAGGAAATCAGTCATGAATAGGAACTAATTGGAAAACAACTTGGTTCTTTCCGGAGTGAAGTTTCAGGAAACCCTTCTTCCAGCGCACCCTGAGCTCTAATGCACATAGGAATAGGATAACCAACCAGTGCTGAAGTCTGAGAGAATTCTCCATTTTTTAGGAGAAGGTGTGCTTTTAGAACAAGGCTGAGTTTTAGTGTCTGTGTAAACAGACCACAAGCTGGAGGCCTCCTCTCTGTGAAAATGAAGAGGGCCCCCTGCACTAAAGGGTGGAGCAGTGGGCTAGATGATGAAGTTCCTTTACTCTCCACAGGTCCAGATGGGGGTGGGGTGGGGAGTGTTGGGAAACCAGTCCAACTTGGTGAACAAGGGAATGAATCAAATTGAAAGTTTGCCTTATGAAATCATGTCCTTGTTGGTTTGCCTTCATTCCAAAGGAAAGAGTTCATTTTTTCTCTTTCCCTTTCGTGTTTTTTCTTTCTGTTTTCCCAATTAATTTCTTCTGGCTTCCCTTTATTTCTCCTTAGACCTCATCTACCCTGCTTTCTCTTTTCCCACATGGGAGGTTTCTTTGTGAGGCATGGAATTCTTGTCAGCTGTTTCAGTTTAGTACTAGCCTCAAAGCTTCACAGCTCCTGTAAACAGGAGACCAGATGTGTGTGACTCCCTAAAGTATTAGGTCTCCCCACTCTTGTTACAGAGCTAGCTTGGGAAGAAATGCTCAGCAGGGAGCAAACAGCTGTTTACCAGAAGAGAAAACAGGAGTGTCAGAGGTCTATGGCTGGATAACAATAACAGCAAGACAGCAATGACTGCCAACATCACTCATCTCCTACTCTGGGTTAAGCATATGTTATGTCACTGTGATATCTCAATGGGGTAGATACTATCAACACTCTCCAATGTACAGAGGAAGAGGCTGGCTCAGAGTAATTAAGGAAGTTGCTAGTAAGTAGCAGAGTGGGCATTTCAGCTCAGGTCTATTTGACCCCTATTTTCTGAAGTCAGATATTCCACTAAAAATAATTGTAGAGGAGAGCTTTTTACAATGTGTAGCATGAATTTAAAAAACCACAATCTTTCTTGGAATCCAGCTCTGTGTGTGTGTGTGTGTGTGTGTGTGTGTAGGGGGAGGAAGGCCACCAAGTGTTTTACATCAATCCAGAATTACAGGGGATGTGGAAAAACTGAGGAGAAGCTTCAATCAGATAATTACAGTCTCCACCAGCGTGCAGAGGTAGGTAGACCAGTGCCAAATTTCCTTTGTACCAGGAATGGGCTCAGACCACTTAATACTTTATACCTCTGCGTTTTTCCTCCTTGCCTGCCTTTGAGTATTTTTATGCATATATTGGGATATTGAGGTGAAGTATAAGAATGAAACTAAAGTAGCAAACTCTGTACACTATTCTATTTGCATGTCCTTCATTGGCACTGGGGAATGGGCTTGGACAGCATTTCTCAATTCTTTAGATTAATCGGTGGTTGGTTACAGTGTGGTCTGTTACTGGGTTCCTTCAACTTCCATAGCACAGTCAGACCCTCTAAACATGGTCTTTCATAAAGGAATGGTTGGAAATGTAACTGATAGTTGAAGACTAAGATCCTCATTAATGCTTAGTTTATGATGACAAATACATTCTGACTTCCTGAACTGCACAGCTATGCCAATACACACTTTTAATCCTCTCTTGGCTTCATTTATATTTGTAAAATTTCCCACCCTTTGCTAATTATACCTGGATCCTTTTCCTGGAGGAAAATCCAGTGGCTTAGCTAGCAAAGTAGGGGAGAATCATAGGACCTCAAATTATGTAGTCTCCTAAGAAGGATTTGCAGGGCTGTCAGACACCTCACCAGCCTGGGCTCCTCAAAAGCAGCAGTGATTCACAGGAAAGTGGGGAGTGCCTCCTTTGCAAACAAGCCCTTTTGAGACCCTCAAATGAATCTAAATTAAAAAACAAAACAAAACAAAAAACAACCATTTCCCCAGAACTCCAACAGTCCAGGCTCTCTATTCTGGGAAAGGCCTTTGCATGCAATGAGGTTTCACACAGTTATTCAAATTTGGGTTTTGAGCCATCTGTCTTTGTTCCCTTAGTCCTGTGATCTTTGCCTGGATTTTGGTCTTCCATGCTTGAACTGAAGTAAGTGGGAGGCTGGGGAGGACAGCTGCATATTTACCTCCTGGAGACTTGGGGCACCTTTAACCCCAAACAGTGTGTACTCTGCCAAGGGCTTCATTTGAATTTCTTCATCTCAATGTCAGCCCTTGTGCTTCACCCCCTACAAAGCCAGGTTAAGCCAAAAAGAGGAAGAAGTTTGCATATTTGTATGAAAGCTTGATGCAGCTGTTCCAGACAAACAAAGCTACTGCCAAAGGCCTCCACCAGGAGCTAAGGGTATGTGGAAAATTTTAGCTGCAATGACTGTGGCTGTGATGAGAGCAGTTTGTTATTTACTCATCTCTGGATATTTTCCTAATCCCAATGGTTGTGCCTGTCTCATTCCCCTATCCTCCACCCCCCCAGTTCCTGTGAGGGCAGACACTACAGTCCACAGAATATTCTTAGCACTTGGAATGCCAGCTGGGCCCCCATCAGAAACCTCTATATGTCAGTTCATTATCCTTCCCTCACCCCCATCCACCTCCCATTTTCTCTCTCCTCACTGAGTCCACTCTTGTAGCTCTCTGTCCCCGGGGACAGAGGGTGAAACATTGAGGAATCCAGAAATCTCCATCCCTTCTGAAGTAAGGAACAAGAAAAAGAAACTGGGAAATTCCTGATTAAGAGAATGTGATCTGTATTGCTATTAACAGCTTTACCAGAAAGGGGCTGTCACAATCTCATACATAAGTTCTTGGAGGTTGAAAGAGAGAGAAGAAGTATGATGGATTGCCTGTCTCCCCCATTTTTTTCCCAAATGAGGTAATTGGTCTAAGTTCCATTTTTGCAATCTTGACAAGGGTATTTGAGTCATAATTTGAATAAAGATTTAACTCATAAAGAAATGATTAGAGAAGAGTTTTTAGGAAGATAAGTGCAAAAGCAGGTTAGACAATAGCTTAAAAGGCCATGCTGTCCAACCTTCTCAGCTTTATGCTCTCACAACCCATTTTCAAACAGCTCTTGTTAGGGTGTCTCAAAGGCTATCCTTGGTAGCTAATTGGAATATTTGGCCATCTTTATTGCCCTTTAGTAGCTTTTCTTTATATCTAAAATAAAGGTCTTTCGTGATAGTCTAACTCTTCCCTTCTCCAGGTCTTGGTCTCAGCTCTGCCCTCCCTGGAAATAAAGGTCATCAGCTCTAGAACTTACCTGCATACCATGTTGGTGTCACTGCTGGAGTTAGGAAGAGCAGCAGAGGGAGAGCTCCTCTTTGAATTAGTTGACCAACCATCCTTGAAAGAGAGGATTAGGGAAATAAAAAACAAGGGTATGTAGCCCAAAGTACCCAGATAAAGGAAAATGCTTTCAGAAGCCTATGAGCTTCCAAAAGTGAGAAGAAGCAGATGTATGGGATCTGTGAGGAAAAAGAAAGATTTTAAAATTAATAATGCCTGCCATACCATCCCCTACATAAAGATGTTCCACTTTATAGAATAACAAGACTGTTATTATGGTCCCTTTTCCCTAGACATTAAATGAACTATCTTCAACTGATCCTGGTGGGATCAGATGAAGATGTTCCTTGGACCAAGTTATGGGGATGGACACTTAAGTACAAGACCAGGAAAAGGCTAACATAAAGTCATACAGAACCAGAAGGGAATCTGGTGATCTAAAGGCTGCCAGTTAATGGTTTCATTTATTCATCTAGTATTTCTTAACCATTGATCTGAGAAAGTATTAGCATATAGTCTAAGAGCTTGAACACTGAAGTTATACAGATCAGAATGTGAATCCAGTTTTGTCACCTATTAGCTAAGGGACCTTGGACAAATTCCTTAAATATTTGAGCCTCTATTTCCTTATCTATAAAATGGAAATAAGAATAGCATCTATCTTATAGAATATATTATTACCTGACATATAGGGAACTAATCAATATATATTGAAATTATTGTTACCAACTTCACACTGGACAGGACTGGATGTTTACCTTCTCTAGTCTCCCAGGCAGTAACGATACCTTGGCTCTGTTCCTAGCTTTGGGTTTTGAGGCTTAGTGGTTTGGTAGTGGCTTCTGACTTTCAAGTCCCATCTAACCTTCTAGTTTCACCCTGCTGAGCCAGTCAGAGAGGTTAGGGTCCATGAGGAGAGGGTGAGCAGGTTCCAATTATCCTCTTACTTCCCAGTCTGCCTTCACTTTAATGGGATGGGAACTTTTTGGTTCCAGTGGGCAAAAACTTCATAAATGACAGTATTAAAATTTGATGCCCATTGGTAAAAACTGGTCACTGGACATTTTTCAGCAAGCACCCACTTACCCACATGCTTTCAATGAAATGTCATGCTCAGAGGAGGAGTCAGTTCCAGAAACGCAAAAGCAAAATGATGGCAGACTCTGGCCAGCATCACTTTAGGACATTTTGCAGTTCATTACTACCTGGCTTCAGATTTTATCTAGAGAGTGTCAATTAAGCTGAATAGAGAAAAAAGTGAAAGTAAATAAGGGAGGTAAGGAAAATGGTAATACGTAGAAAGGGTGCTAGAAAGAAAAGAAAACCTGACAAAGCTAAAGAAAAGAGGTGGATTGAAGAGGCAATGAAAGTAAAAAGGGATTAAAGAAAGAACCAGGAAAATGAACAGCTAGAAAATCATCACTGATCCTTTTCCCACATCTAGCCTCAATTCACTTCCTTTGTTCTGCAGCAGGGATTTTCCTTTTTTCAGACCTAATACTCAGTGACCCTTTACGTGCCCACCTCCTCCTCAATCTCAGACTGAAAATGTGACTCACCAGAGACAGCCATCCTTTATTGTGGGCTGAGAAGTTAGTGGGAACATTTGTCTGCAACCAGGTCAGGTTACAAATGAAAACAGCATGTGATCCAATTTCATAAAAGATCATCTTCTCCCCGTTCTAACCCCCAGTCACTTTGTCCAAGTCCTGGGTCTCCTTACCAGTCCATAGCTGTGAAATAAGGTAGAGTAGTATGAAGAGTTAATTGAAAATCTTACCTGTGTTTTAGTTTTTTTGTGTTCTTTCTCTCTCCTCCTCTTTCTCTTTCCTTTCTGCTCCTCTCATCAGCCGGGGGGGGGGGGGAAACAACAAACTTCTACTTTAACATTCCTAGAACGAGTGGCTCCTGGTTTGTCTGGGCCTCCGGGATTCTGTTAACACTGCCCAGATGTTAGGACGTTAACATTTGCCAAAAGTTGCCTTAAAGCTATATTATCCCCAAAGCTATAGCTGTTCCTCCCTTACAGAAGAGTTTTAGAGAGATGGGGAAGAAGAGACAGAAGGATTAGAAGAACTCCGTCTGTCTGCTGCAGAACAGAGGGAAATGTGACTGGCACTGGCCCTAAGCCTGTGAGTATAGTGATGACTAACAGAGGCTGGTTAAAGGACTTCCAGAGATGTGTTGTGCTGAAGAACACACTACTTTTTATTACTCAGCATTACATCAGGATTGAATGAAAAGGAATTTCACAAACTCCAAGGAAAAGAGAAGAGTGTTAGCTGACTTTGACATTCCCTGGAGATTTCTTCTATAATTTCTTAGTACTCTCAAACTCCAAGTTGCCTTACCATCTATATGGTACAGGGCCAGGCACGCTTTGAAATCCTTGTGCCAATGACCTAATTTATCAGGACTTCAGTTTCTGATAAAATTATCTTTACAAAAAAAAAAAAATAAATAAATAACATGCACTTTGTGTGTGGTGTTAGGAATTGAACCCAGGGCCTCCCACATGACAGTCAAGCATTCTACAACTGAGCTACCTCACTAACTTTACCATGCCTTTCTTGCCAGAAGAATCAAGACTGATTTTTCATATTAAGAATGGAGGAAAAGCATGCCTAGAGAAGCTTTTGTGGGATGATTTTAAGCAAATCTAAATGATACATGCAAGGCAAATTTGTAGCCATTGCTAAATAGTTACCAGTCATCTCTGATGGAGAGCTGTTTCTCTTAACTAAACAAGCTTTCTTCATCTTGATATTCAGTAATGAGATTATTCTTGAGTAGTACAGACTGGATCTTTACTTTCTTTCCGCAAAGTTGATATTTATATCTCTTGAAAAATTAGTGGTTGTAGATGAAAAAATGTTTAACCATTGTTGAAAGGGTTTTTCTTCAATGTGTATAAGCAAATTGGTAACTCCTTCTCAGTCATCAAGGGAAGAACTGTACTTAAAATAATACAAAGTTTAGTAACCAGCCTGAAACTATTTCATATCCAATTAATCACAAATACATATTGAATATGTGCCATGTGTTCAAAACTGTGACAGCAATAGAGTAACAGAAGACATGACCTTGACCTAATTCATTCAATAAATTTATCAAGCATCTACTGTGTCACACAGAGATGGTGAATATAGTGGGGAACAAGACAAAATCCCTGACATCCTAATTAATTCAACAAATATTTGTTGAGCATTTGTTATGTGCCTCACATTGTTTTAGGTGCTTGAGAGACATCAATGAACAAAATGTATAAAAATCCCTGCCTTTATGGAGTGGAGGAGACAGACATCAAGCAAAAATATTCTTAATTACAATTGTGTGTGTTCAGGAATCTTTATTGGTCATCTACTAGAAGGCAAGCATATGGGATACAGTGGTGAGAAAGACATGTGTGATCCTTCATCTTATTTGAGCTTACTTTCAAGCTTCCTGATAATTTATGTTTAGTAGAGGTGAGAAGGGGGACATTGATAATTAGAAAACTATGGAACACTATACAGTAACAAAGTGCTAGAAGCTATAGTGTAGACTCAGGACTCTAGAAGGAGAGAGGAGGGAGGTGTCTGGGGAGTGGTGAACTTTGGTTTATTCTCAGGCAAAGAAATTGACATAGATAGGAGCTCCATTGTTAGATCAGAGTGGGAGGGGCCTTTGGGTAAGATGGTTCAAGGGAGTGAGAGGAAACAAAATTGAATAAAAAATAGGATTGGGATAGAAGATTCAATTTATAAGTTGATTCTGAATTCATATGTTAGGAAAAAGTAAATATAAGAAATGAGTGTTTGTGTGTGTGTGAGTGTGTGTGTGTGTTTGTGAGAGAGAGAGAGAGAGAGAGAGAGAGAGAGAGAGAGAGAGAGAGAAGACAGGGAGAGGGAGGGAGGGAGGGAGAGAGTAGAATATGAGAGACAGAACAGGCAAAGCAATAAATTCTATCAGGGTTGTTTTCTTTCTAAAATAAACTTTCACTGGCTCCCTCTTGGCATAGAATACAGTCTGACCTTCTTAGCCTGGCATACCATATCCATCACAAACAAACCCTATCTGTGTCCTCAACCTAGATTTAAACATTCATCTTGTGATTCCTCATTCTAGATACACTGATCTTCTTGCTCTTCCTTTCATGCTTTTGTGCCTTTGTACATATTTACTCTGTATTACCTTTCCTTCTTTCTTGGCCTGTTGAAATTGTATGCATCCTTTCTGCTGAGAAGGCTCCTCCAGCTCATCTAGGTCAGAGGTAGTTCACTTTGGCTGCCTTATCTCTAACAGCACACTGTACATTTCAATTATAGAACTTGTTGCCCTTATGGTCATTTTTTTTTTCATTTATCTTTGACCCCTAGTAAGCTGTGAGGTCCTAGAGGGCAAGGGCTTTGTTTTAGCCTTGTTCTTATTCTAAGCACCCAATACAGAGATGCATAGGGCCTCAATCCCACTTAAAGCTAGAGGGAGTGAAACAAAGAAAGGTCAAAGAAGAAAGTGAAGTGGGGAGAATATGGAAATCATAGAGCGATAAATAGGATAAGTGATACGAGAGGGACAACATTCCTGTGAAGCACTGGGGAAAGTAATATGGAGAGGTTATCCAAAACAAGTGGGGTTACTTTAAAATTTATTTTTACAGCAACTTCTATGTGTGTAGAACACAAATACTGTGAGGAAGTTAAAAAAAATCCCACCTATCTGTAGGGTTTGGATGGGAAGATAAGACAAAGACATAGACAAAATACATATTAAACTTATTAAATTTCTTAATGCTTAGTACCATTTTAAACTTTGACTCTTAATCTTAAAAGCAGTCAATAAAGTATTGTTTTTTAAAAAATTACTAGATACAGAAAGTGACTTACCTAGGTGAGATCTCAGCAAAGCTCAATGAGGCTTGACTGGAAACAACTTTGTCAGAAAACAGGTATTGATTGTAAAGTTTGATACCATTCAAAAGGGAGTTTTCATTTCTTTATGTCCCAAACTATATTATTATGAGTTTTGAATAAGATGATATCAGGGATTGAAAGGTTTCATGGAGAATCTGAAAAGAGTAGATGAAAAAATGATCAAAATCTGGACACAGCAAGAGAATTTCAGGGAAGGATAACAGGAATAAAAAAGAGACAATAGGAAATAAAGTATATATTACTATTCAGGAAATTAATTTTTAATTGAGGATATGAATTAACTGATGAAAAGGTAAGGTATCACATGATCATAACATAAAATATGGCATTTTCAGAAAATAAGGAAGAGGTACTTTGAAATTTCATAATAGGCACTTAGCCAAAGAGTAATTGGAGAGATGCTAGAAAAGGGACTAGAAAATTAAAGTTTATTATGTGTGTTTATGAAAGGTTATTATGTGAATAAGAGATAAAATGTATTCTGAGTGAAATGGCAGATGCCTTTTTACTGGTTCCTAACACAGAGTAGGAATATCTCAAGACCTCATCTAGCAGCTCAACTTAATTTTCCAGTTTTATGATAGTGTGATATTGGGGTGTCTTAAACACTTAGTTTTTAATTTGATTTAAATAATCAGTCCTTGAGTAACTACTGTGCAGGTATCTCTAGAGACCAGCCAAGACCTTAATGAGCAATGAACTCAACAGGGATTGGCTGAGCACCCAATGAGCTCATCAATTGAGCATTATGTCCTAGGGTGTTCAGGAGGGTATAAAAGAAAGTGCAGGAGCCCTGCCACACTGGCTCTTCTGTAGTTTCTGAACATCTAGACAGCAGGATGTAGAGTAGGTAAGTAGAAATGTAAAGCAGGTACTATAGTGATTAAAGGTCTGAATTAGAGTGAGTGTTGGTCAGACTATGAGTGCTGATGTTAGAGAAAGAGGTGGGGTGTGGGAAGGGAATATTCTCATTTAGTTGGGGTGAAGATGGACATTGAGTAGAGGGAGAAATTGGGTTTGGGTGGGCAGGGAGTAGGGAACAAGCCTTGCTTATTGAGGGGATAATCATATTGGCTTGGTATGGAACAGAAAATTCATACTGGAAAAGTGGTGGGGAATAGGTTAAAAGTGTGTTGTGGGGGGGGTTTAGAAGGGGTGGAAGGTCGGAGTGGCACAGGAGAGGTCTGAATTTAAAAGCAAAAGATTGTTTGTCATTTCCCTTGCCTGATGTCTGCCAAAGAAAGCCATTTAAACCTAATCATGCAGGTTACAGGAAGTTAATGGGGAAGGGACACAAACCTCTAGTAAATGTTGAATTGTGTTATGCGAGTGAAGGCAAGAGTAAACCTCAACAAAAACTTCCCAAGAGCAAGTCAGAATTGGGGTAATCATCAAGTTACTTATGCTTCAGGGGCTCCAAAGAGTCCTTGTTGTGGCTAAATGTCTGAGCAACAGCAGTCTTTGTTCCGGTTATTCTGAGCCAAGATAGCTGTACGACAGCTGCCATGTCTCATCAGAGAGTAGGCCCTGTTTCTGATGAAGGAAACAGACACAGGTTGGGCTTAGACCTAGGGAAGCTACTTAGTCTCTTTAAACCTGTATCTTCATCTGTAAAATGAGGGCAGTAGCAATGCTGATCTCATAATAGAGCTTTTGTGATGTGTTCACACGGTAACCAGTATCAAGTGCTTAGCAACCGTGGTTGGTACATAGTTAGTGCTCACTATTACAGTTATTATTAATATTTTAAGAAAAAAATATCTTATGGACTAGAGAAACACTTCTTAAATTGCCTTAGATGGAATTAAGTATCCCTTTGGTTTGGGTTTGGACCTGGACATTGGCTTAGGTTTGAACTGAACTTCTGAGTTTGGTGGCATGGCAGAGGTGGGAGGTGAGGGGGACTGGGTGTAGCAGGGTGGGAGGCATTAGTGCAAGGTGTTGTGGCCATAGGAATATTAATTTCCATGTCAGTCTCTGGTTTAATTTGGCAAGGATGTTGTTCAAACAAAGCAGCGTTGTGAGTGGCAGAGGAAGGGTGAGGAGAAAAGTCAACACATTCTTGGAAATAAGATGTGGCTTTTGCTTTTAGCAATTTTGTTTTTCTGTCAGCCACAGAAATATTTCTTTGCTCTCAGGCGCAAAGTGAAAACCCTTTCCAGGACATGGTACAAACCTAAGCTTCAAAAGAAACTTCCTGTTTAAGATGCAGTTAGCAAGACTTCTTTGGATACTTGTTTTTAGTACAAGGATACCTCATAGGATGAGTGTGTATGTGTGTGTGTGTGTGTGTGTGTAATTTATCCATTCTATGTCTTTTTTGCGTTAGGCCTTTCTAATTTTAGGATAAAGACTGAAAGTGCAATAATTCACTCTCCAATAGTTGTTCCTTGGACCTTAGTTGTCTGGCAAGATGTTATAGGAGTTGGTCCTAGGTCAATATTCAAAGCAACAGTGAAGCTCTGTGTGACCAAATCAATGGAACTTTCCTGTTTTCTGGTTATGTGGTATATGTTTAAAGCAAAATTTCAAGCAGAAAAAATTTGGGCATCCACCTCTACTCCATGAAAAGAGGACTTTTTGCAATTGCAGAGCAGTAAATGGCTCCTTATGATGTGAATGATGATGTCAATGATGATGAGATAGGATGGATGGGGAACTGATAATGCCTTCTAAACTCACTGCTCTAGAGATAACATACGTTTATTTGACATCCAGTTTCTGCCCTCAAAGAACTTACACTTTGGTTGAGAAATCAGACATTAACACACATTCTGTGCTATAACAATATAGATCAATATGTTAACAATACATACTGAAACTTGAACATACATACATGATTTAAGACGAAAAACGATTTCACTTTCATACTTTAAATGACATAATTTACTAGGGATGTCCATTTATAAAACTTCAATGCTCTGTTTCACTGAATGGATAGAGGAACATGTGAATCAATACTATTTGTGTTAGTTTCAACTCAGATTTCCTAGGGGTAACTATTTTCCTATGTAAGGATATATTTTTATAGAGGAAACAGAAAGGCCTGAGAAAGTTTCATGAAGTATATATTTTCTACTAAACTGAAAATTGAGTGTTTTAGAATTTTTTTTTTGTTGGTACATTTTAATCATACATAATAGTGGGATTCATTGTAACACGTTCATACACATACACGATGTAATTTGGTTAATCTCATTACCCAGTACCACCTCTTTTCCCCCTATTCCCTCTTTTACTCACTGGTCTCCTTTCTATTTTCATGAGACTGTCCCTTTTCTTTTTCCCTTTTTTTCTCTCTAGCTTCCACATGAGAGAAAACATTTGACCCTTGACTGTTTAGCATAATGCTCTCCAGTTCCATCCATTTTCCTGCAAAGGATATAATTTCTTTCTTCTTTATGGCTGAATAAAACTATTGTGTGTGTGTGTATGTATGTATGTATATACAATCACATTTTCTTTATCCATTTGTCAGTTGATGGACATCTGTACTGGTTCTATAACTTGGCTATTGTGAATTGTGTTTCTGTAAAGTGGTATACATGTATTGCTATAGTATGCTGACTTTAATTCTTTTAGATAAATACCAAGAAATTTATCTAAGTTGGACCCATATGGTGGTTCCATTCCTAGTGTTTTGAGAAACCTCCATAATGATTTTCAAAATAGTTGTACTAATTTACAGTCTTACAAAACACACCCCAAAACCAAATATAATAAGCATCTGTTAAAATAGAAGAAGCAGCCTGGATTAGAAAGCACAGGAATCTCTAGTTTTGACTGTGATATTAGCTTTGTGACATAAGGTTTTAATCTCTGTGATCAGTTGGTTCTTAATGGGAAGAATCAGGGGGCTGGAATACATAGTGCTTTTCACTGTTACCATTTCAGAGGGGCCTCACATTTACCTGGCATTCTCTGTAGTACCCTCCCTTTTTATAAGTTTACAGTTAGTGGCTGAATTCTATGTTCGTTAGTGACTCACCTCAATCTTCCAATGACTTAGGGGACGAGAAAGCAGTGGGATAATGGAGGTTTGCTAAGTCCTGAAGGACATTTTGAAATTATTGTCTTTTAATACTTAGCTTTGGAATTCTTTCAAAAAGTGATAATTTCCTTCCATTTATTCTTATCACTCCCCCAATAAAACAATGTTCTTAAATTGAGAGCAAAATTGAGGAGTAAAATCAGCCTGATTCCACCAGAAGTTCACTTTTTGTCTAAACAAATGCTTCTGTATGTATTGCTTGGCAATCTGCTTGTTTTTGTTTGGAAATATATTTCTTGTGGGTATTTTCCCACGTAATAACATTCTTATATAGTTTCTAACCTTTCTTATTCTTTTGTTTTTCCTTCTAGGGGCAGCAGTGGCCAGGGAGGCCGAATCATAAAGCACTGCGGGCGGTGCTGACGATACAAACAATATGAGGAAGTTATAAGGGCGGGAGAGAGGTGGGGGGGGGTAAGATTTTCTGGAGGAAAAAAAAAAATCGAAGCAAGCTCCACTGAAGATCTAAGATATTTCTGACACTAGAACCTTTGTGTACAGTTTTCGGTAACCTTCGGCAGGGGGTGCTCGGAAATCGTCGCCACTTTCCGGACAGCCTCCCTCACCTCACCCTCTAGAAAATCGTACAGTGTTTCCGGCTCTTCTCAGTTGCAGACGCTCGTAAGTTTCCGGAGAAATTCGGGGACTCGGAGTCTCGTTCGCTCTGTTCGATCGCCTGGTGCGGTGGTACAGGATCTCGGGATAGTCATGGCGTCCCCGTCTCGGAGACTGCAGACTAAACCAGTCATTACTTGTTTCAAGAGCGTTCTCTTGATCTACACTTTCATCTTCTGGGTGAGAGACGGAAGCGTCCAGGCACTGCCCGGGATTCCGGGCTTAGATGCGGGGGTGTGTGTGTGACCCTGAGTGGAGGGAACTCAGGTCGAGGATGGGGTGGGGTTTGAGCGATTGTCCCTTTTGGGACCCCCGGCGCCGGCGACTAGTAGCTGGGCATGGAGTCTGCACCGGGGTCACGGTAAGGGAAGGGTGAGCTGGGACACAGACACGCCAAACGTTCTGAGTTCGAAGCGCGAGGCGAGGAAGGGAGTTAAACCGCCAGAGCACGCGAAGGGGTGTCCATGAACATTTGGAGAGGCAAGACTAGCCCGGCCAGTTTGAGGGCTCACTTGCCTACTAGAGTCTTTCTTTTCACTGCTTCATAAGAGGGGAGTGTTTCTCACAGTAAGTATAGTCTGGCTCCACTCCCGCCAATCTATTCTTGGATTTGCTTTTGTATACTATCCCTTTGTAATCCTGTTCAACCCTAAGCTAGAGAGATCTTTTTATAGAGAGTGGGGATGGGGGGAGGTTTCTGGAACTCAAAAACACGTTGTTTTTTTTATTCCCCTCCAGGAAGGTTTTCTTCTTTAAGATCCTGGAGTAAAAGGGTTAAGGAAGTTTTCATTCCTCAGGCAAATATACCATGAGCTTGTTTTTACAACAAGAAAACAGATGAATTTAAAGAATTTGGACAAGGTGCTTTGCCTATGGCCTACATTTATGGGCAGATCCCCTTCATACCCTCATCCACCCTCCCCACTTGTCTGCCATATTCCAGCTACAATGCTTGGGCCATCAGACTGCTAAATTAGTTCTCACACCCATTGCGTCTTAAGTACTTCCTGGTTTGTGATTTGAAAATGCTAGTGTATACAGTGCCTGACTTTCTATTCTCTGATTTCTCATGTAGATCACTGGTGTTATCCTTCTTGCTGTTGGCATTTGGGGCAAGGTGAGCCTGGAAAATTATTTTTCACTTTTAAATGAGAAGGCCACCAACGTCCCCTTCGTGCTCATCGGCACAGGCACTGTCATTATTCTTTTGGGCACCTTTGGCTGTTTTGCTACCTGCCGAGCTTCTGCATGGATGCTGAAACTGGTGAGCCCTTGTTTTCAGTAAAATTGATTCTTGACTTTAGAAAAATATGTTGTGGACTTTGTTTCTTGGAACTGGCCACAGCCCTTTACAATTTTTCCTGTTCCTTATGAAAATTTGCCAAGTAACAGTTCTCCACTCCAATTTCCACTTTCAAAGTAGACATTTTGATACTGTTTCCCCTGCCCTTTTCAATAAAAATATGCTGAACTGACTGAGAAGAATATTTTCCCCCTTTGCCTCCCTTTGCAGCTGTAATAAATCTTATTTATGCTGACTTGGACTTTCTTTTTTATCCCACAGTATGCAATGTTTCTGACTCTCATTTTTTTGGTCGAACTGGTTGCTGCCATCGTAGGATTTGTTTTCAGACATGAGGTAAACATGACTTAGGGAATCTTAATCTAGTAAAATGTATCCTCTAGAGAATAAAAATGGATTAGGTAGCAGAATTAAGTAACTTTTAATAGTTAAAAGTCACTTAAAGCTATATTTAAACCTTATTTTCAATCTGTAGCCTACAATAATGGCTTTCTAGTAAAAATTTTGGCCAACTCTTATTGATTTTATAAATGAAAATTTAGAAAATTGTAGACTGACAATCATCAAAAGAAAATTAAAGGTACCTGGGGTTGCTATGAAATCATTCAGTGAATAGCAAAAGCTCATTAGGGTGTCTAACAAACAGTACATTTTCCCAAATTAGGTTTTGTAGCTTCATTCCATAGTCATCAAATTTATAGTCAGTTTAAAGTGGAGAAAGATTGGGGGTGAGGGGTGTGGAACAGACAGTACAGAGCTGTCACTTGGATAAATAAATTATCACACAGCACTTTGAAATTGTCATGGTTATTGTCTTACATTGTGATGTTTTTGCTTAGTGTCCCCTCAGCTATACTATATTCCCTAAGAAGACAGGACTAGATGATGGAAGTTAATTATTATACATCAAAGATACATGCAAGAATTTCTTATTTGACCCTAGAAATCAAAAGAACTTTCTAGAATATTTGTTTACTGGCATTGTGTTTTTTTACTATAGATTAAGAACAGCTTTAAGACTAATTATGAGAAAGCTTTAAAGCAGTACAACTCGACGGGAGATTATAGAAGTGAAGCAGTAGACAAGATCCAAAGTACGGTAAGTTGGTTATAGGTGGTGGATTCTAAAGAGGGGAATACATCCTATGTTGCCTCAGAGAAAAGGATAGAGTCAGGCTACTAAGTTGTTCACTTGAAATGTGGACTCTTCTCACTTGTGTACATGTTTTTTCCCTTCCCACCTACATTATAGACAAATACTGTTAGTGCCTACTATAGCAGGAAAGTAAGGTGAGTCCAAAATTGTCATGCTTGGTGTTAGAACCAAGTAGAATCTCTTGAATCAATTGAGGTGAGAGACCATTGAATACAATAAATGTTGTTTTGAGCACAAATTGCATTAGAAGATGATGTCAAGTTGTAATATGAACTATGTTTTGTTGACTCCCAAGTTGTAATATGAACTATGTTTTGTTGGATTTTTCAGTTGCATTGTTGCGGTGTCACCGATTATAATGATTGGAAAGATACTAAATATTACATAGAAACAGGATTTCCCAAGAGTTGCTGTAAACTTGAAGATTGTTCTCCACAAAAAGATGCAGATAAAGTAAACAATGAAGTAAGGAATCTTTTTCTTTCTTTCTTTTTTTTTTTCCTTTGGTATAAGGGAACCCCCAGGGTTGCTTAACCACTGAGCTATATCTCCAGCCCTTTTTATTTTTTTTATTTTGGGACAAGGTCTTCCTAAGTTGTTTAGGGCCCTTTCTTAGTTGGTGAAGCTGGCTTTGAACTCACGATCCTCTTGCCACAGCCTCCTGAGCTGTTGGGATTACTGGTGTGCACCACCATGCCCCCTGCAATGAGCCATTTAGAATTAATTTGACAATATTTGAGGGCTTAATACAGAGTTTATACAATATTTAATTTTTGCTCACATTAATACACATAATCCGAAGTAGGCAGGCAGGTGATGACTTGATTTCATGCAATAAGCAAGTAATACTTTCAAAGTTATAATTGAAAAGTGGAAATAGTTGGGATTGAGAACATACACAGGAAAAGAGATTTCAATAAAAATGATAGGCTAATAGTAGTTAAAGCTCATCTTTCTGCAAAAGCTATATGATCAAAGTATTATATAGAAAAACAGATTACTTGTGTTGTACTTAATGATACTTCCCCCTCCCATTAGGGTTGTTTTATAAAGGTGATGACCATTATAGAGTCAGAAATGGGAGTTGTTGCAGGAATTTCCTTTGGAGTTGCTTGCTTCCAGGTAAGTCTCCTCATTCCTTAGGAAGTATTTCATTCCTCTGTATATAAACTAGAAGATTTTCAATTTTAATGCTTGAAGGTTTTGCTTTAGGGGCCTGGATAGTGGGAGCAATGTAAGAGAAATCACATTTAAAAAAAAATTCAGCCATCTAGTATAAAAATCCTTTTATTTATTTATTTATTTTTTTTTGTGGTAGAGTGGACTTGTTTTGTATACATAGCATTTTAGTCAGCTTTTTCACTGCTGTGACTAAAAGATCTGACAAGAACAACTGTACAGTAGGAAAGGCTTATCTGGGGGCTCACAGTTTCAGAGATCTCAGTCCATAGATAGCAGGCTCTATTCCTCATGGCTTGAGGTGAGGCAGAACATCATGGCAAAAGAATATGGCAAAGGGAAGCAGCTCACATGATGATCAGAGAGCAGAGAGAGAGACTCCACTTGTCAGATACAAAATATACCCCAAAGGCACCCCCCCCCCCCGCCAGGAACCCACCTCCTCTAGGCACACCCTCACCTGTTTTCTGTTACCATTCAGTGAATCCCATCAGAGGATGAGTTCACTGATTGGGTTAAGGCTCTCATAACAAAATCATTTCTCCTATAAAACTTCTTGCATTGACTCATGCATGAGCTATCAGGGGACACCTCACATCCAAACCATAACACATAGTATTGATTTTGATTTGTGATTGGGTCATTCTTAATTTTTAAAAAAAAATTTTTAGCTGTAGATGCACACAAAATGTCTTTATTTTTATTTACTTATATGTGGTGCTGAGGATCAAACCCAGTGCCTCATGCATGCGAGGCAAGCACTCTGCCACTGAGGTACAACCCCAGCCCTGATTGGGTCATTCTTTAGGTTTGTTTTATTTAAGGAGGGACTGTATCTTGTATCTTAGGTTTTTCTTCACAACTTTCCACAGCTACAGAGTTGTCTACATTTTTATTATCATTACCATGGCTTTTGTTGTTTCAAGGCATGAACTAGAAGAAAGACTCAGTGACATCTCAGTTAACTAAACAAACATGAGATGGATAGGAACCTTGTTTTTCTTAGCAATCATTCAAGATTCTAAAAACATCAGGATCTTTCCTGGATTGCAGCTACCCTAGTGAGTTGCATATAAGTTCCAGCCTATGAAAATTAAGATCACACAACTCCACATTTAATATGTGCCTATTTTTTTTTTTTTTTTTTTGTGGACATTATGTTTTAGGTTGAGTTGTCTTTCCTAAGTATGCTTCTTGCTGTAGCATGAAAAAATTGTGTTGTGGCTTAAATTATTTTTTTAGGGCATGGACTTTTTGTCCCTTATAATTCAACATTCTAAAAATAAAGACTAGTCCAAGGGTACTCCTAATATATTTATAAAGTAGCATGTAGAATTATCTAAATCTGTACTAATAACAGAAGCCAGTGGCCTGTTTTGAGCACTTCTAATTATTAAATAGAATCAAAATCTCAGCTACTCTGGCCCCAAAGTGCTCAGTAACCATAATAGAGCAAGTGGCTACTATATTGAACAACACGAATATTCTAGAACATTTACATTATCACAGCACTGCTTTTCAAGAAAATCAATGCCCTCATCAATGGAGGTTTTACTTGATAAGATGCTTATTCTAAGCCATATCCTTATTTTTTCCCTGGTAATCACTGATGGTTACTTCAAAACTCATGACTCCTGAATTTTCCTTCAGTGCCAGTTGTGAAATTCTGGGTCACAGTAGTAGTAAAACTTATGTTCTTTGAATGTGATTTAGAGTCTGTAGAACATCAAAAATAACTACAAAAACTCAAAAAATTGTTGGTGAATTAAAAGTGAAAGAATAATACATCTGTATGCTGAGATCTTCAAGCTCTCTCATGTATGTGTGTTTAATATTGTTTGTATTCTCTTTTCAGCTAGTTGGAATCTTTCTAGCCTACTACCTCTCTCGTGCCATAACAAATAACCAGTATGAGATAGTGTGAACACAACAAACAAACAAAAAGAACAAGGGCTTATTTCTCTGCAACTTAAAGGTGCGTTCATTTTGGTTCTCAGCTCTGTTAGCACTGATGTTTACTCCAGCCTGTGCATGTATTGCATGGACTGAGTTTGCCAATGTCTTGTCCAGTAGCATATTCCAGTCTTGCTGATGCTGTGTGAGCCCTGCATTAGGTAAGTTAGTTCTGTATATACAAAGGCCTGGCCAGAAAAGAAGAACCTAGCTTGTTCTGTGTATGCTTTCTGTGTTTATGCAACAGAAGAACTCCTATGGATTTACATATTTACATGCACATTGCAACCTAAAGATCATAAGTAGTCAATCCTCTTACTCACATATTTCAACCTAAGAGTGGAGAGAAACAGAAAATCCCAATAGTGACTTTATTCATGAGATTCCCTGGCAAGTGCACTCTGCTCTTGACCCTTGGCCAATATTGGTACTTCTTTCTCTAGTTTTCATTCACCACAGTCTTTTTTTTTTCCCCAGCACATTTTTTTTTTTGTACTGGGGATTGAACCCAGGGGCACTCAACCACTGAGCCACATCCCCAGCCATTTTTTTGTATTTTATTTAGAGACAGGTTCTCAATGAGTTGCTTAGGACCTCGCCTCTCCTGTGTCTGCCTCCCAAGCCACTGGGATTACAGGCATGGGCCACTGCGCCTGGCTCACCACAGTCTTAATCAGTGCTTCCAAGTGTTGCTTTCTTGGTAAAGAGATGTTTTTGGTTGACTATTATTAGGAGCCATAAATTATCAGATTTTGAGGAAAATAAAATATTGTGATAATTGTTGGCTGAATGAATCCCTAAGGTACCCTTCACATTGTAATTGAGCCACTGACAAGGAACAGATGAGGTCTTCATTAGGGGGACTAGATTAGAATGTGGGCAAATAAATACAGATTTAACATTGAGGTAACAAATGAATGCAGGTATTAAAACTTAGGTTATAAGTAAATTAACTTTTTTCCTTTAATTTTAGGATATTTAGGTTCCCCTGTGAATTATAAAATCGCCTGGTTGGAAGACTGACATCACTAGTTACCAGTAGGCTGAAAAAACTACACCAGTAGATTGAAAAACTACATGAGTAGACTGAAAAACTATACCAGTAGACTGATTCAATCAAGATGTTTGTTCAGTATGTTCTAAGTCCACTTTCTGTCCCATGATGTCTCATTCATGTTAGATCTTTGAAACCCTGTATCTCTCTGAAACACTGGAAGAGCTAGTAAATTGTAAAATGAAGTAAAACTATGTTTCTCTTGACTTTCTTTATCAGAGTGTAGCCTTTAAAAGGCACTGTGTAATTGCTGTTTTGATACATTGCAATGGAGGGAAACTTGACCCCTCTGAATTTGCTAATTGATGTAGTTTGATTGAAAATTGATGTCTCTGAACTGGTCCCTTCCCAGCCAAGGTTATTTGGTTTTATTGTGTAATTTACATCAAGAAAGTTAAATGTTCCATTAGTCTCTGTTCTGTTGATAGACAGAGGGTCATACTATATACTTTAATTCCAGCTAGTCATTGGATAGAACCTATCATTGCAGTTCCTGGGTGGTGGTAATAGTCTACAGCCTTGGGTCTAAAGCAGTGAAACTAAAAGGTACTACCTATGTTCAATGATACATCAGAGTTCAGCATACAATCTATATTTTTTGCCTCCAAATTAGGGTATTTATACTTTCCCTATTGTTTGAAAGGGTCCAATTATTACTTTAGTGGTGCTAGAATTTGTATTTTCCTTACAGACTCAATGGAACTTTTCATTAACTCTAGCTAAAATTTCTTTACCAGGTTGATATGACTTAACTGTCAATATTATGGTCAACTTTAATAGTCTTAGTTTTGGTTGTGTCCTTGGTTAATAAATATAAATATATCACTTAAATATTGTCGTCCTCTAAAAGAATTGTGTTAACTTTTAGAAAATCTTCTGGGATGGTTGTTTTCCACTGAGAAAGTGAAGGTCCCATGTTTCTACTTGGAGTATATTTTTTAAGTTGAAATGATAGTTGAGGCCTTAATTCTTGTCATTAAAAATTAATTTTTCTATTTAAAAAACTATTTCCTATAATAGGATTACATTCCATTTGTGAAATACCATATGCTTAGCATTCTCGTAGAGATCACTTTTTTTTGTTTGTATAGTTTGCATTAAAAAGAAATAAAGGGAAATACTTAACCGTATCTTTAGTATAATAATTAACAGTTTCTTAAATTTGACTTGAAATTTGGTAATTGAGTCTCTCTATTCAACTATTAGTAGAATCTTTCATTTCTGATTGCCACATAGTCCCAGAATAGATGGTAAGTAGAGTCAAATACTGTTATAAATGAAATGGACAAAACTAATTAAGAATAATTAATTCTGGGTACATGTCTCAAAATGTTTGGAGTTATTGCATAAAAAGGGTATTCTCCATTAGAACATTTGGTGAGTGGCTTTTGTGACACAAGAAGAGTGATAAGAATTAACAGTTGAAAAATAGTGACTACAAATGTAGTAAATCAGATTTCTGTCTCTTGGGATTAGTGAAGGTAAAGAAGCAAATATTTGGAGGCTCATTAGCAATTTTCAAACAGGTATTTTTCGCTAGAAAACCTTGAAAAACCTTAGTTTTTTAGTTGTAGATGAACAAAATAACTATTTTTTATGTGATGCTGAGGATTGAACCTAGTGCCTCACACATGCTAGGCAAGTACTCTACCACTGAGCTACAATCTCAACCCTTTGAAAAATATTTGAAGGTTTTCCCCAGGGCTCACATACTATTTAAGCATTCTACATACCCAGCCTCTCTCATTAAAATGGAAAATAACTAAGGAAAATTAAAATATGGTGAGTGGAAAAAACACTGCACGTCACACTTCTGGTAGATTCATTTGTTTTTTGTTTTTATTAGTACATTATAGTTATATATAATGGGGGAAGTTCAATTTGTCATGTACATGCATACATATAATTTGCTCCATTTTATTCCCTGGTACTTCCCTTTACCTATCCTTCCTCTACCTAATCTCCTTTCTCTATTGGCCCTCCTTTTATTTACTCATTGTTTTTTTTTTAAATTGGTACATTATACAAAAAGGGTGGAACTCATCATGATATGTTCTTAAATGCACACAGCACGATTTTTTAAAGTTTCATTTCACAGTTCCTTCCCTTTCTCATCTCTCTTCCTTCCTCCTCAATCTGCTTCCTATACTCCACTGTTTTCCCTTAAGTTTTTATGGATCACTTTTTAAAATTTCCTTATTTTGCTCTAGCTTCTGCATATGGGAGAAAACACTTGATCCTTGACTTTCAGAATCTTGGCTTATTTCACTTAGCATGTTGTTCTCCACTTCCATACATTTACTTCAAGTGCCATAATTTAATTTTTCCTTATGGCTGAGTAAAAAACTCCATTGTATGTGTGTGTGTGTGTCTATGTATCTATATATCTATCATTCTTTCTATCTATCTATCTATCTATCTATCTATCTATCTATCTATCTCATTTTCTTTATCCATCTTGTTTATGGGCTCCAGGGATGGTTCCATAACTTGGCTATTGTTAATGTGCTCAATATACATTGGTTTGTTTTTAAAGTGAGTTTATTTTGGATAGTCAGTTCCAAAAGTCCTTTTTATCTGATGTTTGTGTATGTGATTACTGGTGTGAAACCTTAAATCTGAAGGTAATGAGTACATTGATTTCACCTGATTATAACTGGTGCAATGAAAAGTTTATGTATCTTTAATAATTTGCTATAATTAGAATAGCTGGTTAGAGTGAGGCTATCTGTTCATGTAAATTAAGCATTAAGAGTTTCCACTGGATGCAGTACATATACACCTTTCTGTGATGACATCCCCAGTGGCAGAGGGAAGGATTTGCTCAGTATTGCAGGCCCGAACTTTGGTCTTCATAATGAAATTCCTTTGAAGTTTTGTTTTAAAAAGTCTGGAAAATTTTATATTTTATTCCACAATATATCCATGTTTAAATTTAAAATAATTCTTTATCTTTGATGTGCCAAATGTATCCTGTGGGTTGCCTTAATTCCAGACACCAGATTTCTAGCTGCAAGGTGGCTCTGAGCTCCACTTTGAAAAGCAGAGATCTGTAGGTACATTTTCTGAAAATGTGGAAAGCTTGGTAGCTTTCCATGGTCTATTCCATGTGGGTTGATGGCTTTATATGGTGGACATCAAATTTTTATGGAAATAAATATCTAATACAAGGTATAAATACCATTTGTGTTTTCCTCAGAGCTCACACAAGATTTTTTGAGACTTGCTGTTTTTAACTTCCTGTCAGAATCCAAAATGGTTACTTTGCTAGTGATGTGGCCAAACAAATCTGTTAAATTATGAGATGCAAGGCAATATAAGCATTTTTTTTGTGTGTGTGTGTGTGAAACCGAGGAAACTTTTGGTTCCTTTGGACTGTTCTATGTGGGTTTTTGTGTTTGTAGGAAAAATCTAACACGATTCAAATGCCATTTTTGCTTTTTTTCCCAACATAAACTACTTTGAGGTTTTATATATATATATATATATATATATATATATATATATATATATTTAGGTTTACTTCCCTTCTAGCTTAGCAGAGTTAGGCACTTGTAAGAGCACAGTCAAAGCTAATGAATGAATAAATGAATGAGTGAGTGTAATTACAATGACTCTTTAATATTCTGTGAAATAAGATGATTTAAATCTCTCCTTCTATAAAGCCACTATTTATATAAAAGAAACTACCTGCCCAGTCAGAAACCACTTAACCTCAGAAACCACTGCTAACTTCCTCCAGATCAAATCACTTTCTGCTACTTCTGTTTCTTGAATTCTTTGCTGCATTTGATACCACTGATTTTTTTTGTTTCATTTTGACTTTGTAACATTCTGATTTTCTTCCCTTTTATTTCTTCCACTAGTTGTTTTCTGTTTGAATTGCATTCTCTTTTTCCAGTGAGGCAGCCCTGAAGGGCTTATATTTAGCTTTCTGCTATTAGATTATGCTGACCTTACTTTGAGGAATTAAATGTGGATGACCAACATGACTAATGTGGTTACTCTCAGGGTCATGCACTTTAGTTGTATAGTTATATGTTCACCTTGCTTGCATTTTCTTGATTCTCCAATACCTAAAAGCTTAGCATTACAAACACTTAAAAATGTAAAAATGTTCCTCCTCTAACATGTAGTGCATGGATAGTAGTAGGCACACTTTAGAAGTTGACTGAACTGACTCTTTAACTTGAGATAACCCCATTTATGGGAACTAGAGAAAATGAGAACAGCTGCTCTAAGAGTTTACTATCATTGGCTCTGCTACCTGTGTTTATCAGGTGAACATGATAGATTAGAACAAGGTAGATTAGCATACTTGATTGGACAAATACGTCCTCTAAATTATTATTTAAAAAATTAAAATGGTGAGTGGGAAAGGCCATTTTCTACTTCAAAAGAAGTTTTTCACCATCTTTCCTGACAAAACAGTTTAGCTATAGTATCCTCAAGGCAAATCAAATTGATATGAGATATATATATATATATATATATATATATATATATATATATATATATATAATGTAGGTTTCTACAGTGTATAGTAGGTGAAACAACTATTCAGAATCATTGCTAGAAAGGTAGAGTAGCTACATTATGTTCACAGGTAGGGCAACTCACCTAGGGTACAGCATAATAGAATTTGAGAGGTAAGGGACAGCTTTATATGCCTTTTCTCTCTATCCAGGAAGGCCATGTACTTCCTTAATAGAAAAATGGTATATAAGAGAATACCATTTGCACAAAGACTTTCTCCAGAGGGGAGGCAAGAGAACTAATATTTATTGAGCACTTACTAATTGCTCCAATAGTCTAATCTATATGGAGGTGGTAGTGTTATCCTCATTTTCCAGAAAAATAATGAAAAAAGGGTTAAATAATTTTCCCAAGGTCATTCAACTGGTATATTGCAATTCTGGGATTTGAACTTAAAGCTGACTGTAGCCCACACTTCTTCCCTGGATTTTGTTTCACCTTTTTATTTTGGTACTGGGAATCAAACCCAGGCCCTCATGCATGCTAGGCAAGAGCTTTACCACTGAGCCACACCCCTAGCCTGATTTTATTGCATTTTAATAGCAAAGGGGTTTATGTGACATATCCTATAGCCAGAGACCAGAAGTAAAAAAAAAAAATGTCCTATCCTCCAAATATCTTTTAATCAAACTATTAAATATGAAATCTTTAGAAG